ATTTAATTGTCCCATTTTAAACCATCCAGTGTATTATTATACAGAGACCTAACCAACATTGTTAAAGTGTTTCTTTTTTTTTTTTTAGGTTTTATGAGACAGAGTTTCTTTGTGTAATAGCCCTGGATGTCCTGCAAATCAAACTGTAGACCAGGCTGGCCTCAAACTCACCAGAGATCTGCCTGCCTCTGCCTCCCAAGTGCTCACTCTCATTTAAAAAAAAATCCCCCACCTTTAAAAATTCGCAATTGTCTCAGCAAAGCTGCCGCCGGTGATGATGTACACTACAATGGAGTGCAAAGCTGACTGCTGCTGAGGAGAGCAGTAGAAGCCTGAGTGGATTTCAAGGAGGGAATGTGGGGAAAACTCACACCTACCAGGAGAGGGAACCCACTGTCTAAAAAAAACGCACACCAGGGATCATGCGGGAAGAAAGCTGCCTAAAGGGAGAACCAGCTGCTGGTGAGGGGCTAACTCTGGCAGTGTTTGGAGCCCAAGCTTCTGAGGAGTTTGCTGCATGTAGACCGCAAAGAAATATCCCAGACCTGCTCAGAGGCTTAGGGAAAAGGAGAGGAGAACCTGACTGTCAGGGCCGTGACTCCAGCCATGAATAGCTCCAGTCTACAAGTGTGAATACAAAGCCTCAGGCAAGCAAGCGGCTTTTTTCATGAATTCACGCCCTAAAGTTGGAGCGCTAGATGTAGTGGGAATTCTAATTGGTCTTAATAAATAAAAACCCAGAGTCAGATATAGGGACAAGTGCAGAAAGATCAGAGAAGCAGAGCATCCAGCCATTAGAGATCTTCTACACCTCTTAACCAAAAAGAAAAGGAACTCCTGTCTCCACCTCGCTGTATCACCTCCTCTCTCTGCCCAGCCACATCACTGCCTGTCTATACAGACCTCCAGACCTCTGTGGTTAGCTAGTAGCAAGCCTCTCACTCTCGTCTTCAGGTAAGCTTTATTTGTTAGAGCACAAACAAAATATCAGCACACAGTGATTAAGAATGCTGTATGCCAAGTCTGAAGATTTGAACTGAGTCCCCAGAATTCACATGATAGAAGCTGAGAATAAGCTCCCACAAGGTATCCTCTGGTCTCTACCCACAAACCATGACAAATGTACACTCCTATACATACACACAGAGAGACAAACAAACAAATGTAAAAACATAGCTAAATAAAATTTTAAAAATGAGAAAGTATTATGATTCCTTCCAGGAATAATGCAGATCAAAAGGACCAAGAAAGAAGGAAGAAATAAGATAAGTTACATTAAACTGTGTCACATTTTAAGAATTTTTGGGTTCTCTGAAAGTGCTGGTGATTAACAGCAATAATTAAGACATGAGTAGTTGATGCTTGGAGAAATAGATCAATGGTAACAGTTTTCTGCACAAGCATGAAGACTTCAGCTCAGACCCACAGCAACCATAAAGAAAGGTGAGTTAAATGGCATGTACTTGTAATGCCAGTATTGGGAGGTAGAGACAGTAGGATCTCAAGAAATCACAGGCCACCTTGTCTTGACTAATGAATGATGTAGGAGCTCCTTCTGTTTATGTGTTGCTTTCATTGGTTAATGAATAAAGAAACTGCCTTGACCTTTTGATAGGGCAGAACTTAGGTAGGCGGGAAAAACAGAACTGAATTCTGGAAGGAAGAAAGTAGAGTCAGAGAGTCATGGATCCACTGGAGATGGACCCTGGTTAGACTCTTTCCCGGTAAGCTACTGCCATGTGGCAATATACAGATTAATAGAAACGTTTTAAATCAAGATGTGAGAGTTAGCCAATAAGAGGCTAGAGCTAATGGGCCAAGCAGTAATTTAATTAATACAGTTTCTGTATGGTTATTTTGGGGCTAAGCTAACCGGGCTGTTGGGAAGAATCAGCAGGCTCCTTCCCCTGCAACAGATGAACTCAAAACTCAGTGAGAAACTCTATCTCAAAAAAAAAAAAAAAAAACCAAGTTGGTAGATGATCAAGGAAGACAGCCAATGTCAACCTCTGTACTCTAAACATGCAAACAAGAGTCTAAGCACCCTCGTTTACACATGATCACACACACACACACATATGAGAGAGAGAGAGAGAGAGAGAGAGAGAGAGAGAGAGAGAGATTGCTGAGCTGTTTTATAGCTGTGTCTCCATTGAAATTGTCTCATTCTCAAAAAGAAGGGACTGGGGACATGGTTCAGCAGATGAAGTGCTTGCTGTGCAGGCATGAACCCTGCAGGTCAGATCCCTATAGCCCATGTATAAAGTGAGTGGATATAGGTAACTCCAGCTCTCTCAAACAGAGACCAGGGATTTGCAGTGCAAACTGGCTAAAGTGAATAACTAATCTAACTTTATAGGCAAGCTCTAGGCTCAGTTGTGAGCACTGGCCTCAATGAACAAGGTCAAAGATAACAGAGAAAGAGTCTCGGCATCACCCTTGGACAAGCAAATGCTGTCTTTCACACTAGCACTGACCTGATGGGGTCAAAAGGTAAAAGGAAGATGAAATGGAGATATTGTCTTGCTAGTTCACAGGTGGCAGAATGCAGGGATCACAAATTACATTAGATCTGTACTAAAGAGGTCTTCCTGGGATCCTAAAACTTGGAACCTATGGGAAGAACTGAAGGACAAAGAGGGGAGAAAAACAAGGTAAAAATAATAAAAGATAACCCTGAAGTCCCACCTTTTCATACAAAGAGTAAGAAATTCCATGATTCAACAAGCAGCTGGGGACCTAAAGAATAACCTATGACAGGACACTAGGAGAATCAAGGAGCATAACAGCCTGAATTGCTCTAATTGGAATTTTTAAACAAACACTAACAGAGACTCCCACCCCTAGTTCATGGGGCTGTGGGATGTGAGCATAACTGAATGAACCTGAGGACGCTGCGAGTGCACAGAGTAATAGAACTGCCTGTTCTCCTTGCGGTAGAGGTTACATAATCCAAGGCAACACAAGGTCATCATTCACTGGTGGACAGTCCCACAGGAACCATTAGGAACCCGTGGTCACCACATGGAAGGGTTCCATGATATAAAGAAGAAAGGACAGACATTACAGAGAGAATTGGGCACGAGATAGCCAGTATTCAATGCCCACCTTATTAGACCACATAGAACTGCGTTCATGAGAGAACTAGGAGGACACTGTCAGGTATGTGCTTGCTATGCTAACAAGGGGACATTTATTGGAATCTCCAGCATCCACATGGAACTTCAGAGGTTGAGAAACATGTTCAAAACCTAGTCCTGGGAGTATGGGAAGAAGAACGTTCCTGGAGCTTGCTGCAGAGCCCATCTAGCTGAGTCAGCGGGCTCCAAGTTCAAGGAGAGACCCTGTCTCAAAAAATAAGATGGAGGAGCAACTGAAGAACAGCAAATGTTTTCCCTTTTGTCCCTTAATTTTTATGCCTATACATTTGATGCTATATTTCCTTGGTTGTATTTTAATTTTCTGTCTCCTCTTTTGTTATTTTAAGATCTATTTTATTTTATTAATTATTTTATTAATTGTGTGCATGTGTGTTTATCTATGTGATATATGCTATTTGGAGGGTTGCATAGGCCAGAGGCATGAGAATCCCTGGAGCTGGCTTGGCAGGTGGTGTGAATCACCTGATGTGGGTGCTGGGAAGAAAACCCTGCTCCTCTGAGAGAGCAGCAGGTGCTCTTTAACCCAGAGCCATCTCTCCAGCACCACCCCTTAAATGTTTATCTGATTTTTTTTGTCTTTATTGTGCAACCGTTTTTTACTCTCATATTCACCCTTTCTCTTTCTGCTTCAGTTTAGTAGTATTTGACTTTATCTTGTCCCTTTTCCTTTAAAAAAAAAATGTTATAAAGCTGATGAAGCATTGGAAGTGTCCAGGTGAGACATGGATGGGAAATTGCTTAGTGTGAACTTCAGAAAATAATTCCTCAAACAAGAGTTCTAGAGGCCTTGTGTGAGCTCTATATTATTCCAAGAGTATTATATTAACTCTGAGAACAACTGTAACTGTATGAAAGTACCACTATGTAATTGTCATGAACATAATATTAAGCTACCTCCAAATGAGTTATCGTTATACTCATAGAATGGATATGGATATAATGATATAAGCCATGGGTATAATGATACAAGGCATATCTCAACCCTCATCGTGGAAGCTTGTGTTTGCAGCAGATGATCATCAACCCAGACAAAGACACAGAGACTAGGACACAGAAGACTATCCAGCCCTAAATGGAATATATTAATGCTTCTTCTAAAGGCACAGGAATGGTTGTGGGAGAGAGGATGACAAGACTGAAAGAGCCAGAGTTGGTGGATGGTGACAGGGAAGCAGTGTCTTCTGCACACAGCACGGCAGCTCCACTTATGAACTCACCATGGTTGTGACAGCAGGTGTAAGACCTGCCAAGCCCGTGCTGGACTGAATAGCAGCATAGACAGGGGAATTGAGAATGAGAAGAATTAAGAAATGTGAATTTACAACCATGAGAAATTAAAGGGGGGTAAAATGAGTATTTTCTTGAATGAGACAAAAAAATGACCTCTGCACAGGACTTGGGACAATGTTTTGTGTAACCAGTTCAGGTTGCATTTGTGAAGTCAGGGATCAGAAAAAATGCCTTTCAAGGGTTGTGTTCCTGCCTATCTAGTCAGATACTTGCCCATGTTGCCCCGATTCCAAAGGTCACATTCCACTCTGTTATTATTTTATGACTGTCCATCATTTGCTGCCAAGAAATGAAGAGATAATAGAATGAAAAACAGCCAATAGTTTCACTTTCTCTTTCTTCCTCTCGGAAGTACAGGGGATTCAAAAAACCAGCAAGATCCATACGCTTAGATGATTGGTAAAAACACACTGAGAGGAAAGGGGCAGAAGTCAGAAGAGTGATAAGTCCCGCCCTGCTGACTTGAACCTGCGGCTTTTCCACAGAGGAAGCAGAGAGGGGATACAAGAGAAAAGACTGTAGGACAGTGGAGCATGGTTCCTGCAGCTGAACCCAGTGAGGAAATCCACTGGACACAGGATAATCTGGTAAGTGGACAGCAGTATTCAGATCTACCTTGAACCCTCACCATCTCTAAAGAGATGACAGGTAACAGGACTTTTAGAAACATGCCCTGAAAGTGAGGGGCCTCAGTTTGGAAGATCAGGAACTTTGGTGGGAAGCAGGCAGGATTGGTTTGTGGATGGTCTTAGCCAATCATTCATTGAGGTAGACATAAAGGAAACAATCTCAATATTTATTTTGGTAAAAACTCAAGCTGTTTTGGCTTGTCTCTTATTCCTCTCCAAAAAAAAATGGTTGTTAATAAGTAATGGAGTATCTCTGCATTGTGTAGGAAGTTTATTAAATATCATCTAAAATTGCTTCCTAATTCATGGTCAACTATGTAATTCCTTACATACCAAGGCCTCCGATCTGTGGAGAAGAGGTCTCTCTGCGTACTGCTTATGCTGCAGCTGTCTGTGGAAATCTGTGCCTGAAAAATCTTCTTTACTGTGGTTTTCTTTATTGTAAAGCAGGAGTGTTAAGGAGCTTCCCTCCATCTGTGAGGGACATGATCTCTGTCAAGGAGTGGTGGCAGCTGTCATTTAGGCAGGCATCATTTTTTTTACTTTTTATTTACTTATTTTTTTATTACTTAAAAGAAATACCAATCCAAATTCCCACTCCTTCCCCTCCTCCCAGTCCCCTCCCTCTCCCTCCACAGAGCCTCCCACCCCACCCCTTCAACCCTAAGGGAGTGCCATGCACCCTGCCCTGTGGAAAGTCCAAGGCCCTCCCTATTACATCGAGGTTGAGCAAGATTACATCCAAAGAGAATAGGATCCCGTGAAGCCAGTATATGCAGTAGAGACACATCCCAGTGTCACTATTGATGGCCCCTCAGTCTGCCCCAGCTGTCAACCCCCTTCAGAGGGGCTTGGTTGTTCCCATGCTCATTCACTCCCAGTCCATTGGAGTTGGTGAGCTACCATTAGCTCATGCACACTGTCTCAGTGGATGAAAGTGTGGCACATCCACACATTAGAGTACTACTCAGCAGGGGAAAAAAAGACAACTTGAATTTTGCAATCAAAGGGACAGAATTAGAAAACATTACCCTGAGTGAGGTAACCCAGACCCCAAAAAAACGAATATGGTATGTACTCACTCATAAGTGGATACTAGTCATAAACAAAGGGCAACGAGCCTATAGTTCAGGATCCTAGAGAAACTAAGTAATAAGGTGAACCCAAAGAAAAACATATGTAGACCCACCTGGAAATTGGAATCAGACAAAAATTTGGGAGCAGGGAGGCAGGGGATAGAAGGAAGGGGAGAAGGGGAGTTGAGGAGAACTTGAGGGAATGGAATAATTGTGATGGAAGAAGGACAGATACGAGAGCAAGGAAAGAGATATCTTGATTGAGGGAGCCATTACAGAGTTAGCAAGAAATCTGGCTCTAAAAAAATGCCCCAGAACCCACAGGGATGACCCCAGCTAAGACCCTAAGCAATAGAGGAGAGGGTCTCTGAACTGGCCTTAACCCAGTAGTCAGACTGATGATTATCTTAAATATCACCATAGAAACTTCGTCCAACAACAGATGGGAACAGAGGCAATGACCCACATCGGATCACTGGACTGAGCTCCCGAGATCCAGTTGAAGAGTGGAAGGAGTGAGAATATAGGCAGGCATCGTATTGTAATGCCTGCTCTGTCACAGCCTTCTCGTTCCCTGTGTTCATACTCGGTGGAAAGACCTTGCAGACAACTGTCACACTGGAGTCTGCATCACAGATCCTGGAGCTAGAACTAAAAGAATGAGAGAGAAAAACTGAAGATGAGAACAGCTCGTGTGTTTCAGGGACATGCTGTCTGTGTCCTGTGGGTGACTGTCACCTTCAACAGTAAATGAGGCTATGTAGTTTATCTAATCTTGTTTAGCTTCCCTTTCAGGACAATCTTTTTACCACCTCTTCCCATCCTGTGCCTGCAGCCAGACTGAACAAAGTTCTGCAGCGCTGGTTTCTTGCACAGCTGTCCCCATTTGTCTTGTAGATTGGAGAGGGGCTGTATGTGTTGAGTCTGTTTGCACTGTGCTCATACACAGTAAGATTCTAAGAACACCTCTGTTTTGTATTACACTGTTTTATGCTCTCCCCAGACTGTTGGCACCCACTGTCTATGAATCTACTAAGACTTCAGGTTCCCGCTGAGCAGTTAAAACTACAGAACAGACACGAGTGTTCACAGTAAACTCCAAGTGTTTTCCTCACAGCCCCCTTTAATAGCCTGGTGATATATCTGCGTGTTAATGGTGAAGACGTGAACAAGACAAAAGCACTTTCTGCTGTGTGAGGTTCACTATACTGTGGGAGGGTAACAGCAAATGAACGACAAATACACACTATGCAGCAACAAGGGCTGTGGAGAAACTGAAATATGACGAAAGGATGGCAAATGATAAGAGGAAGGCGTATTTGTACATCCCAATGTGAATATAAATCCTGAATCCTGCCTAATTGAAGTAGGACCTAGAGAAATGTAATTAATATCCGTGTGGTTACTGGGAGAGAACAAAAAGACACAGAAGCAGTTGCAAGGTTCAAAGTGATGAGACGAGAAGACAGCCCAAGATACCAGGGGTCTGGAATCCAGACACCAGAGGCTCCAGAAATGTAATAAGTATTCAAAGGTATAATGTATGGAGCATGTGCACTGTATACCCAATGAATGTTCCCTGGTGGAAATGGAAATCCTTGTGGTGCCTGTCAGAATTGCCTTGACATGGTATGACGTCAGTGTCACTAGGATAACTCTGGCTGATTGATCATCCATGTTATTGCAGAAACAATCCCAGGAAATATAGCAATATCAATGACATAATCAAAGCTGGAATTGAGGAGGTCTTGCAGAGGGTAAAGGAGGAGGAATGATCAATTGTAAGTGGATTAGGAAATAGAGCCTAAGCCTGTGAACTAATTTGATGAGGGAGAAACAGAAAGAGGAGACTCCAAAGTGACAATGGGGATTTGCGGTTTCCATAACTGATTGTGAGGTCCATTGTGCTGTCGTGCGAGGTCTTGTAGGCAGGTTTGTGGAAAATAAAGGGTAGAAATATGAGATCTGTGCTAGCTAAATGCCCAACAATTATACTCAGGTCCTTAGACCTGGCAGCAAGTGTATTTACCTGTTGAGCCTTGTAATGAACTTGAGCCCAGGTTAGCCTCTAACTCACTACCAAAGATGACCCTCTTACTCTGAGTTCCAGAATTACAGGGATCCACAAGCACCTACATTTGATGAGAATTGAACTCAAGGCCTTATCCATGCTGGGAAAACTCTCTACCAATTGAACTACATCTCCAGTGCTCCGTTAGACTGCTTTCATAAAAGAAAAGATTTAAAAGAAAATAGTGAATCTAAATGATGACTTGAGGACACAAAAAATATTGTTTTAAATAAACTCATTTTAATGCAAAGTTTAAGGTATAAAAAGTTTTGTATTATTTTATGTTTATATTCTTCATGGAAATGAGTTCCATGTCAGGAAAATGATAGAAGAAAAGTAAGTCTAGGCAAAATTAGAATTATTTCAGCAAAACACAATAACTGAACTTGCTGAAATATTTTTGAAAACAAAATAACACAGACAAAACCAGATTTGTGTGATCATTAGAGAGATTTGTCATTGATTAAACACTGATGTCAATTGCCATTTGTTGTTTTTTATTTTTCAGTGTATAAAGCTAGATGTATGTTAAATTTCTATTCATTTGAAAGCAAACACTGAGGGTAGTGTGCACAGATGGTAACGACATCTCAGATTTCAAACAAAATATTCCAGTTCTAATTAGATGCAACACAGTTACTCATGATTTTATACTTGATTACTTGATGATGCTGACAAAAGGATACCTGTACATTTTATATTATTTTTATTTACTTAAGTATTATTTTTTCTTTAATGAAGGGTTTAACCGAGAGTTAGTAAAATTTGGTTTAGTTTCCTTTCTAATTATAATATAAACACTATGACAAAAAGAATTTCTAAAGAAAAGGGGTTTTCAGGCTTACACACTCTGCTCACAGTCAATCACGGGGGAAAGTCTGGGCAGAAACTCTGCAGGAGTAGAGGCAGTATCAATAGGACATGATGTGACATTTTATTTGTTTTTTAATAAATAAAGCTTTCCTGAAGATGAGAGAATAAAACAGCCTCAATGATCAACCTTACAAGACCAGGCAGAGGTAACACACACCTTAAATCCCAGTAGCCACATTAGATGCCATAGAAACCAGGCGGTACATGTCGTTAAGGCCAGTGGTGTGCCTTTAATCCCAGCCTAGAGAGGATTATAAAATGGGAAGAGACAGCTCTCAGACATAATCTCTTTCTGAGATTCCTGGAAGCAAGATCACCATTTCAGACTGACGTAGACATAAGAACCAAATGGATGCCTGGTTTGTCCTTATGACCTTCAGGTTGTGGTGCAAGACAATTCTGTATTCTGCCAATTATGTGTGATTTTCTTTGGGGCATAACGGCTGCAGAAACTGGGCAGGACAGAAACTCCAATAAGCAGGTCCTCATGTTACAATGTTGAACCCCAATTTCTTTCTCTGAGTTTTTAATTAATTGTGCTTCAAGGAGAATATTGTTTACTATCTTGCTCCCAATAGTTTGATAATGCTTTCTTAAATTACCCAGTTCAGGAGTGGTACCACCAAGAGTGGGCTGGAAGCTCCCACATCAATATTCAATCAAGAAAATAGCACATAAGGATGCTCGTGGGCCAATCTAATGGAGGCACTTCTTCAAATGAGATTTTTCTCCTCCAAAAGGACAGCAGCTTATATCTTGTTGACTGAAAATAATCAGCAAATGAACTTGTCTAAAGGTGAGATGGTCCTTCGGGTTCCTGCTTCATGAAAGAGTCTGCAAGAAATTCTGCAAGACACAGAAGAAGGTGACTGACAAATTGCCAATATAGGTGGAACTGTCTTTGAAATTTCCTGCTTCATTGAAAAGTCTGCTGGATATTAAGGGCTTGTAGGCTGAAGATGGATGCCCCAACAATACAGAAAAACTTTGAGTAACTGTCCAGGCAGCAAGAAGTCTCTGTCATCTTGATAGATTTGGAAGTTGCTTACAATGCACTTCCTGTTTATTTAGGTAATAGTATATCCTTCTGGAGTCTTTGATGGAGTTGAAGAATATGATAAACAATAAAGTAGATATAAATACTGTAACTGTATTTTTTGCTTGATACCTGTCTTGCTGTATGTAATTTTACTATGTTAAAGTTAAAATCTTCCTTTTTATTTAAACAGAAAGGGAGAAAAGGTGTGGGAAGTCCTTCTATATATGTGTTGCTTTTATCAGTTAATGAATAAAGAATCTGTATTGGCCTGTGGGGGAAAAAAGAAAAGAATCAGCATAAAATATATGGTTAACATCAGAACACATCCGAGATTGCAACATAGAGAACTCAATGTTAAGCATAAAGGCATCTTGAATATCTTGCAACTTACTCTCCCTTCCTTCTTTCAGGGCCCTTTTATCAACAGTCATGGATCAATCATTCTCTGATACATCTAAGAATGAAGACCATGGAGATTTGGAGTCCAGCTTTACAGCATATTTTAAGAAAACCAAGAAAGAAAGCAAAATCATTACTCAGGAAACCATTGATTCAATTGAGTTACACCTGACAAGAGGAAATATTCAGGGGGCAAACTCTGTAATCAGGGATGCATTAAAAAATATTGATAATGCCCCAATAAACATTGATGTCACTGGAGAGTCTGGAGCAGGGAAGTCCAGCTTCATCAATGCCCTGAGGGGGGTTGGACCTGAAGAAGAAGGTGCAGCTGAAGTTGGGGTGGTAGCAAGAACTATGAGGAGAACTCCATACAAACACCCCAAAATTCAAACTTTGACTTTATGGGACCTGCCTGGCATTGGAACTCTGAACTTTCTACCAAAAGATTATCTGGAGAAAATGAAATTCCAAGAGTATGACTTCTTCATTATTCTTTGTGCCAAACATTTTACAAAACTTGAACTAGATCTTGCCAAAACAATCAGACTTATGAAAAAGAATTATTACTTTGTGAGAACCAAGGTGGACCTGGATTTAGACAATGAGAAGAAATGCAAACCACGCACCTTTTACAGAGCAAAGACCCTGCAGAAGATCAGAAGCATGTGTGTGAACACCTTCAGTCAGAATAACATGGATGCTCCACAGATTTTCTTGATTTCTAACAGACATTTATCTGACTATGATTTTCCAGTCCTGATGGACACCCTGGTAAAGGATCTTCCTGCTCAAAAGCGCCACAATTTTGTTCTTTCCTTACCTAATATTACAGAACCAGCCATTGACAGAAAGCACAGCTCTATGCAGCAGGCTATCTGGTTGGAAGCCTGCAAGGATGGACTTTTAGCTACTGTTCCTGTAGTGGGCATCCTCAGGGATGATGTGGAGAAGCTGAAGGAGAAGTTAAACCACTATCGAGTCCTCTTTGGAGTGGATGATGAATCCTTGCAAGTCATGGCTAAGGATTCCCAAGTGCCTCTTGAACAACTGAAAAAAATTATTAAATCTCCTTATTTGTTAGAAACTAAGAAAGAAGAAACATTCGGAGAAATGCTTTTGAAATATTTGGAGAAACTTGCCTTAGGTAATGGTGGGCTCCTAGCTTCATGTATTTACTTTAGGGAAACCTTTTACTTGCAATTTCTGTTCCTTGACACAGTGACTGAAGACACCAAAGTTCTCCTTAGAGAGACAAATTTAAGAAAGCAGTTTAAACTCAACTCACCACAGCTACTGACCATGACAAGAACAAACGATTACTATCAAGAAGTCATTAGATGAATTCTCCGCTCTGACATATTTTCTTTAGCCAAACCACTATCACCATGGAGACACCTAAAGATATGGACCACGCTTCTTACTTTGTCACAGTCTGACAACCCAAGTCCCTCTTCCCCTCTCTGCCTGCCTCTCTGTCTTTCAACTCTACCTGTTGTGAAATATTCTTTTAAGTACGCCAAGATGTGTTACATTTGTTTATGCTGCAGAATATTACTTTAACTGTGTAAAAACCATGGTACATTTTCTCATTCCAACATGGGGCCAGTACTTTTATGTAGGGCCTAAGAAAACTGAGGGAAAAAAGAACAAAAAAGAAGTTGTATGCTAAGCAAAAATAGTCAAAGTTAGGATCAGCATTCAAAGCTAATAATTCTGTGTCATGGATTGGGAGCTAATTAGTGGCCCCAAAGAAAGAAAGTCTGGTACATTAGCCTGCACACTTGAATACACACACACACACACACACACACACACACACACGCACACATCTACGAATGGACACATACAATGCCCAAAATGTACAAGCACATACAAAAGATATGAATAAGTTCTTTGTATCTAATTCCTACTAATCAGCTAATCAAACATTCTAATGGAGGACTTGCCATGCATGTATGAGGACCAGAGCTTAATTGCCAGAACCCATATAAATGTTCAGTGAGTGTGGCAGCCACCTTGTACTTCCACACTCAGAAGGCAGAAACAGTGCAACCATGGAGCATGTTGACTTGCTGGACTGTGTTGATCTACAAGCTCGGGATTCATTTGAGAGAACCTGCCTTGGTGAAAAGGGTAGAAAGTAACTTAGCAGGAGACCCAACATAAGCCTGACATGTCCACACACACGTAAACATGTACACCCCACACAGGGACACATTTTAAATATAAAATAATATTTAGGAAGTAAAAAAAATCACAAGTCTTAGAAAGTATAGAAACATAAAAGTTTCATGAAGCTCTCCTCAAGGTTAACAAGTAGTCTGTACATTGTCATAGTTTTTATCTCTGTTGATGGGATTAAACACTAGCTGTTGGTACAAAGTCAGTGAAGGAAGCTTGTGAGGAGATTCCTGAGAGCTTGTGAGAAAACTCCAGGACAAAGACAAAAAGACAAAACCACCTGGCTAAAACCACCATAAAATTTACATATTTACATACAAGGGTCTTGTAACTTCTATTCTTTCATAGCATGAATTTTTTTTTTTTGTGGAATGCACTGCCGTGCCTTTCTGAAGTGGAATAAACAGGAATGGGTCTTACTGTAGATTACCCGTCATTTTACCTCTAGTATTCAGGATGATGTTTCCAAACAGAAGTTGTCCTCCTGACTCTATACTACATAAACCAAGGTGAGCTTGCCTTTGTGATTGATCATAACTTGAACTCAAGTGAGCTTTGTTCACATGATCTTGCTTGACCCACAAAATGCCCTCAGAATATAAATTGTCTGATTCCCTGAATAAAGTTGGTTATTGCATGAGACTTTAGACCACCTCATTTTTAAGCCCCACTCTCCCAAGTTCATGCCCCCAAATACAGCAGAAACACTGACAAAATCACCCTGAGGGAGGAAAGTATTTAATTGGCTGGCAGGTTACAGTCTATCATCAAAAGAAGTCAAGGAACTGAAGGAGAGACTGGGAGGGAACACTGCTTACTGACTTGCTCTCCATGGCTTGTTCACCTTATTTTCTCACACATCCCAGGACCACATTCCTAGGGATGGCACTCACCACGGTGGGCTGGCTCCTCCTACATCATTTATCAATCATGAAGATTTGGACTCCGGCTTCACTGCTTATTTAAAGAAGTTTAAGGCAGAGAACAAAATCGTTTCCCAGGAAACCGTCAGGTCATCGAGTATTTTCTGACAAAAGGAAATATTTGTGGTGCTAAATCTGTAATGAGTGATGCGTTAAGAAAATATTGATAATATCCCATTAAGTATTGCTGAGATGGAAGAGTGTGAAGCAAGGATTTCCATGGATTACCTCCATCTATTGTGATTGGAAGTTTGGCTGGGTATATTAGTATGGGCTGGCATCTATGCTTTCTTAGAGTCTGAACAACATCTATGCAGGTCCTTCTGTCTTCTAGGGTCTCCACTGAGCAGTCTAGTGTTATTCTAATACATCTGCCTTTATATGTTATTTAGTTATTTTTCCTTACAGCATTTACTATTCTTTCTTTATTCTGTACATGCAGTATTTTGATTATTATACACCAAGGGGACTCTCTTTTCTGCTCCAGGCTACTCAGAGTTCTCTATGTTTCCTGTATCTTGATAGGCATTTTCTATGGCTTTGTTGAAAATATTTTTCTGTGCCATTGACATAGGTTTCTTCTCCTTCCTTTATTCCTATCATTCTTAGATTTAGTCTTTTCATAGTGTCGCAGATTTCCTGAAAAATTTTGTCAGAATTTATTTTTATAGTTAATATTGTCTTTGACCAAGTTATCCATTTCTTTTATCATCCCTTCAATGCCTGAGATTCTTTCTTCCCTCTCTTGGGTTCTGTTGGTGAGGTTTAATTAACATTAAACATGAGACTTCCCTTCATCAGCATCCTGTTGCCTAGGTAGAGGGATGACTCAAGTCAGCTACACTTGGTCAACACTTGATTACATAGGCAGAAAGCACCTCCTCCCCAGGTAGGAGCAGAGGTACATTAGCATATCCTGACCAATTGTCAGGATGGCACTGAGTTTACTTCACTTCAAAAAGGGGCCAGGTGGCCACCTCCTGTGCTAGAATGTGGGATTAAGCCTTGTTATTCCCCAAACTGTCTGACCTTCAGATAAAGTGGGAAATGGGTCAGAATTTCTCAGCCCCCACAATTTCTTCACTGATATTAGAACAATAGTTTCTAGGCTTCCATATTGGACTTTGCATCAGTGGCTTTCAAGGAAGCTTCCAGAATTTCAGTGCCAGATTGGGGCCATGGAGTTACCCAGTCTTGTTGTCTAAACAATTGTGGGGTAGTTGACCTGCCTAGTGAGAGACAGCCATTGTGGGATTACCTGAACTGGTGAGGCATGCCCCATCAAATATCGAGCCAGCAGCAAGTTCTAAACCTCTTAACTGTGATTCATGTGTTGATACTATTACAATGTAAGCTGCCTTAATAAATTATTACATACTATGTATGTATAATATACATATATTCATTCCATTGATTTGTTCCTAAAGAGAACCCAGAATAATTCCAAAGGGGTTGGCAGAACACAAATGGTATAAAGAAGTAGGTGATGATGGAGATGATTTAAGTAGACAGGAGCATGCAAGGGCAGGGCAGAGGAGGGGGAGTTGGGGAAGGAATCAATAACTGAGGGTATCTGAGAACACTATACTGAATCCTACTTTTAATGTGTGCTTAAGGAGTTTAACTGTATTAGGAGTGAGGGGGTAATGCTCATTCAAGAAGACATAGCTTATCAAACAGAAGCTCAAGGCCAGGTGTGGGATACCTCCTCTCGAGTTGTTGATCAGGGAGTGAGGTCCCAGAGACTGCCAAGCAATGCTTGTTTTTAATCCAGTCAGCTCTTCTTCATTCTTTTACCTTTGATATTATTTATAATGAAGATAACCATTGAGAGAGGTTTGCTAAATTCTGTAATCTTGGTTATTCTGGTTGATTAGATGTCCTCCCCCACATCCCATTGTTTGCAGGTTCACTGTGCTGGACAAGATGCAGTCTTTCTGATTCCTCCCCTGTTCATTATTCTCTCATGGATTGCTTTCTTTCCTGTGAAGTCACAACTGAGACTGTCCTTTTCTTCCTCTGCATACAGTATTCATTTAGGTATGTACTAGATTAGTACTAGATTAGTAGTCATAACTCTCAGAATTTGTGCTTGTCTTAAAATGTTCTTATTTTTCTGTCAATTTTAAAAGATAGCTTTTGGATATAGTGATATTAACTGCAATGATTTACATTTAGGGCTTGAGATTCACTGCCCCAAATTTCTCTGTCACTTAGGGTTGCTGGTTAGAGATTCGATATTATTTTGATGTGTTTTCTATTATGAGTTGATGCATTTCTTTACAGTTTTTAATATAGTTTATCTGCATTTATTTATTTGTGTGTGTGTGTGTCACTTCAATACAAGAATTTCTCCCTTTTGGGAAAGACCAACCGGTGTTCCCCTCTGTAAATCCCACTGTGGGAGAATAAGACAACTTTCACAATTGTGAGCCAAATTTGAAGCAAGTTTGATTTTTATTGCAGTGCACCTGAGAGCTGGCCAGAGACTACCCCCTGGTCCAGTTAAATAGAGGAACTCTGAGTTCATTTCTTAAGGCCCTCATAAGGGGTAAAATCAGGAGTACTTGCAAAGACAGTTTATAGAAATCAATGGAGCAGTAAGGAGTTACAGAAAAATATTATGAAAACAAAAAAAAAAAAACAGCAGCAATAAAACCAGGCCTCACCATGTTGTTGTCACATGATTAGGGAGGTTTAGGGTAATCAGGGAGGGAAACAAAGCATTTGAGTGTTCCCAAATACAAAACAAGGTCATGGATTGGGGCGGGGTCAGTTTCACGAATCAGAGATAGAAACTCATAATAACAATACAGTGTAATGGCTCCTGCCTTCCAGATGGAATCAGGCAGGTTCCTAATTTGGCCCTGGATTTATGTGTCTCTGTCAACTCTTTGAGAGAGGACTGTCTTAAATAATGTCATTAAATAGCAATGGTACTAGAGTTGTTTGTGTGGCAGGTGACTGAGCAAGCCACACATTGCAGAGCACAGGTCCTAATTACAATGACCAGTAGATGTAGCATTAGAGGGCTGTTGAAGTAGGGGGGCCATCTTAGTTAAATTGGCCAGTCAAAATTTGTCTGGGAGATTTTTGTCTATTTTTTTTTTATTGAGAAAAGGAAGAAAAAAAAAACAAGTTTCCACCTCCTCCCAGCCTCCCATTTCCCTGCCCCTCCTCCCACCTTCTTCCCCTCCTCCCCTCCTTCTCCCCCTCCTCCCCCTCCTCTCCCCCTCC